ATCCCACGATCTGCCCACCAACCTGCATTTGCTCACCTACCAACTCACCCACCCACTCACCCACTCCATTGACCCACCCACTTACTCATACTCTCACTCACTCACCCAACCACTCACCCACTCATCCACTCACACAACCACCCACCCACTCACTCACCCACTCACCCACTCACTCACCCACCCCTCACTCACCCACCCACTCACCTACCAACTCACACAACCACTCACCCACTCCATTGACCCACCCATTCACTCATACTCTCACTCACTCACCCAACCACTCACCCAACCACTCACCCACTCACACAGCCACCCACCCCCCACTCACTCACCCACTCACTCACCCACTCACTCACTCACTCACCCCCTCAGCAAATCCACTCACTCACTCACCCACCCACTCACCTACCAACTCACACAACCACTCACCCACTCCATTGACCCACCCACTCACTCATACTCTCACTCACTCACCCAACCACTCACCCACTCACTCACATACCAACTCACACAACCACTCACCCACTCACTCACCCACTCCATTTACCACTCACTCACTCACCCCCCCTCAGCAAACCCACTCACTCACTCACCCACCCCCCACTCACCTACCAACTCACACAACCACTCACCCACTCCATTGACCCACCCACTCACTCATACTCTCACTCACTCACCCAACCACTCACCCGACCACTCACACACTCACACAACCACCCACCCACCCACTCACTCACTCACCCCTCACTCACCCACTCACTCACTCACTCACCCACCCACCCACCTCAGCAAACCCACTCACTTCACTCACCCACCCACTCACCTACCAACTCACACAACTGTGATGCCGCCGCCACGAAGCCGTTCGGCAGGCGCCCAAATCCCCGACCTCGCCACCACCAAGCAACGGAGCCAACCCCGCGTCCCCCTCACCTCACCTCACATGAACACACCCGCACGCATTTTCCCCCACCCATAGAGCTGGAAGGGGAGGTTACCTGGCCGACCGGTTTTTATCCGAGAAACCCTTATCGGGGTTAACTCTCACGGTTTCCGGCGATCAGGGAATTGGATGACCTCCCCCGTGCTACGTGGCACCGCGGCGCTGCGACCAGCCTTAATATGGTGTGGTCGCGGCATGGGGCATTTGGCCACCGCGGTTGAGGCGCATTTCCCCCCACACACACCCCCACGGGTCGACGGGGCAAGCAGGGGAGGGACGGGACAGCATGAATAGCGGGACCGCAGGAGCTGTTGCGCATAGTCATGGAGGGTTGGGATAATTACGCTTGAGCGCGCAGGCCCCATTGTTAGGAAGGGTAAGGGAGTAATTAGGATGTACGCCGCCAACGCAGCTCACTGATTAGCAGATCAAAAGCGCCCGGAACCGCCGTGCGCGGGCTCGAGGTGCACGAGCCCATTGTTCAGCGCAGCATCCCCTTTGAGGTAGGGAGGATAAATAGAGGGGCGCAGAGGGGAAATCGCTCTCTTACTCCAGCGCCAGGCGACCAGACGCAGCTCCAGCCAGCGACCCGGACGTCCGTGTGACGCACCGAGGCACGCGGTTAGCACAAGGATCAGCGGACCGCCGTGGACACTTAACAGTGAGTAAGAAGGTGAATTAGAATCATAGCAGATAAATCGGGAATAGGTATAGAGGTATCAGCGTAGGCCAGCCTCGTCGACTCACTGATTTAGTTCCAGGTAGCGGATAATAAATCATTAATAGCTGATCGTGGCCTCGTGTGATCTCGTGTTATAAGTGTGAACGCGTGTGGTACGGTGTATGCGTAAGCTCTCGGCGTGCGTAATCGGCGTACCCCAGGTGCGCGATCATAACGTAAGCGGCCAGCAGGCGGCGAGCGCTGCGCAGAGCGGCGCAAGAGTGGGTATCGCGTGTGGAGCTGTATGTGTGTGCGCGCACGTTCACGACGTGTATAATACAGGTGCGCGATCCTAACGCGAGCGGTCAGTGTTGAGTGAGTGCCGCGCAGAGCTGTGTGTGGGAGTGCGCATACGTTCGTTACGTGTCGGATACGGATGCGCATTGGTAACGTGCCGCACAGGGCTATACTGCGAGCACGGCGTTTGATTGATGATGATGTGCGCACGTATGCTCGCAGCGTGGGAGCGCGGCGCGAGGCTGTAATAGTAGGGGCGCGTTCGAATGCCGGCGAAACCGTAGCGGGTAATAGGGAGGTGGGGTAACGTAAACGGAATAGGGGATGCAGGCGGGAGGGACCCCGGGGGCCAACGGCCCCCACACATCCACGCAAGCTCCCGATGCTCCGTTTTGAAGTTTTAAAATGAAACAACTTTGAATTGTGTTATGTTTTGAATTTGATAATTCTATTTCTTCATTAAAAGCTTGTTATTTTACATCTGGAAGACTTCATTGAAAACGACATTTCGTGTGAATTTTCTCTCGTCGTGAAGTAGATGGCCTTGCCGGGGTTCTGTTCGATGCGGACTTTCACCTGGTTGGGATCGTGGGGTTGAG